ATTCAGCCATGCATGCATACTCTTTGAGATTAATCTCTTAAATAATCTTAAGGCATATCCTGCTTTTGACTAATATATTCAAAGAAATTAAATTCTTTTTAATTAGAGATTGGAAACATTAAACAGAAACGGATCCAATTCTATGTTGCACCTTGTTTAACTTTCTTAAACAATGAACCTGTTTTTGCTGGGGAAAGGTTATTGTTATGACTAGAGTAAAATGAGTGGTAATGATTTTGATAAGATGATCGATGGCCCTTCTGGTCCCCATAAAGTAAAGAAGAAGGGGAAAGGGACCTGCTGAATGCTGGTAATAAATATATTAAAGAGAAAGAGAGAAATGGACCATCATTGAGATGGTAAACGCACACCCACCAGTCCACCACAGTTCACCCGTTTAGGGATTGGATGTGTCTTCAATAAATGGCAAACGATTGAACGAACATAGAGTGGGCCCAAATCCAGCAAAATAATTAAGAGCATGGATCCAAATTCCAAATCCTTGAAGCACATTTAACAGTCATATTTAGGTTGGTGCAATATTTAATTTATGGATACATATTAAAAATGTATTAAATATATATATTTTTTTGATATTAATCTTTCAGTATTTGGTAATTACATTAGGTCCCAACTAATCTGAAATCGAATCGCGTCGGACCCTATTAGAGGAAGCTTTCCTAACACTTATTTCTCCATTCACAAGACTTGAACTCGAGACTTTATTTAAGAGGAATCGAACTCTTTCCGGTCGTACCAACATGTCATTGGTATTAAATATATATTCTTATTATAAATTTTTATTAAAAAATAAAATTTAACTTTTAATTTATTAAATGTGTAATTAAATTCACTTAATACTAAAATTAATATCACTTTTTACATATTTTTATATATATTTATAATAAAAAAATAAATTTAAGGTAAAAAATTAAAAAATCCCTTAATTTATTAGTAATTAAGTATAATTTTAAGTTAAAATTTAAAGTTCAAGTTTAAAGTTCAGTGTCCATAAAATATTGGGGGGTTGTTTCGGGTTTGATCCTTGAAACTATAACATTTTCTTTCCTGAATGCACCATACGTACCAAAGGAATACATACCTAAAATAATTGGAGATGGATTAGCTTATCAAAAGATGGAAACCCCACGAAATATTCAGGGGCTTCACAAGAGGGACTTTTGGGTGGAGGGTGGCAGCGGGAGAGTGGGTAGTCGGTTTATGCTGTGAGGATGACAGGGCGTGCGGCAGCAAAGATGGAAACCCCGGGTTGCTACCGAGATCAGAAGGGGTGTGAAATATTTTGGTGAAGTGAAATTGAAATAAT